CTTTTCACAAGTGCACAGACTACAGGAGAACACAATCAGTCTTTCTTTCATCTTCCATGCAAAAGCCAGAGAGCATCAAAGTCTCCAAAGGTGTATATGCAACTGCCAGGTGCAAGGCAGACCGCGTAGTGGGAGAATGTTCAAAAAGCCCCATGTCTGGATTCTGTAGCTTGTATGTGTGGTCAGTACCAAAAAAAGATCAGTCTAGTTTGTTCTGACGTATATTCCTTCTGTATGGTTGGGCTGGAAATATTGCCTACCTTGTAGAAATGTGAACAGTGCCATTCCACAGGGCTCTTCTCAGGACTGGCCCAAACCCATATAGCTCTGTAGCTGTAGTGAACACTAAATAGTACAAATTGATATAAGCCACTTGCATATTTTCTGATCACAGCAGCTGAAGACAAAATTTATTGGATGCTAAAATAGATTAACATTTGCTTTATAGGTATACGATAAAATTCTAAGTACAGTAGCCCTAAGTTAAGGAGTTGCTTATGTGACATACATAATCCATCTGAGGTTTAGCAACTACCTTTATATTCTACTATCAGCAAAGATAGCATACTCCTGAAGATCTGGTCCTTCCTTCATGACAGTTTGCTGGAAGCCCTTTGCTAGGCTTTATAAAGCCAGCCTGCACGCTAGGGCACTCTCTAAAAAGTGTGATGCATTTAAACTCTTCTGGAGAAAAGAGGAAAAACTGATACTGGCTTACTTGAGAGCAGACATCTGGCAATAGAAAAACAGGTGGAAACAGCTTCCTATCACTCCAGGTTTGGGTGTTCTAACCTAAAATATTTTTCTCAGGGAAACTGGTCTCTTAGACTTCTCACTGGAACAGCCAACATAAAAATTTCTGGCAAATTCAATATTTACAGAGGGGAAGAAGGGCAGAAAAGTTGATCAGATTTATTCACAAGGAAACTCCAAGTACTTTCAGAGACAAGTAAATTGTACAGTTTGGCAAAGACAAAGCTGCTGCTAGATGACCTTAATTTCACAAGCAGTATGTGAAACAAATGAAGGTGATAGGAGCAATCAACAAAGAGTCAACATAGAATCAAGAAGAGAAAATAGGGTAGAAGCCACTGCAACCAATTAGCTGGCTGAAAATCAGGAGATTAATCTGAGTAAATAGTCAGCCAGTTCCCCTGGGTCACTATAACATTTAACAGCAGTACTGGGTCTTCAACAGCATAAAAGCAATGATGGAAAGCATACAGCAGAAAAAGTTACTCAATGACCTGTTCTTGAACAACAACTGATGCTGATGGTAAAATCTGGAATTTTGTCCATCATGGGGAATAACACAGTGTGAGATACAGAACGGCCTAACAGAGCAATGGACTAGAGATCAGAAGTTTTATTCCTATTTCCATCACAGAACTGCAGGGTGACTGCAGATAAGGCCTCATGTTCTGCCTCAGTTTCCCCACAAGCAAAGGATGCAGAAGCCTTGCACTTTGAATCACAAGAAGAGTCTGCACCAATCTGGTTTGAAAAGTTGAAAAGCCTCCAAAACTAAAACAAAAATACTGGAAAGATTTAATCAGTTTCTTGAAAATAATAGTCAGTTCACAAACTCCTTTTCAGGACATTGCCTTTTATTGGAGGAATGAGAATGGAAAAGTCAATACAGAACAAGCATATCTGTGAATTAAGCTGTTTGGGGGCAGATGTAATATCATGCACCTCTGGCTATTTAATCTCCAAGTGATGCATGTTCTGCAGAGCCAAATTTCAGGAACAGGTTTTAAAGGTGTCTGGAATACACAGCTGACTATTCATACTCCTTCCTGGCATCCTTAGCATGAAGGTGTGCGAGAAGGCATCTCAAAAGTAGGTGGAGGTTTTTTTAGAGAACACTTCCCTCCAGCAATTGCTGATGGAGGAACAGGCTGTGACACTGTTGCAAGGTGGAGGAAATGATAGCAACCCCTGTAGCTATTTATTCACCACCATTAATGACACGGGTGATGGGTGGAGAGATAATGGAAAGGCAATGCCATCTTCATGTCCTGCCTTCAAGTGCATAGCCTGAAAATCCAGCCTGATGTTTATATAGCGTTTTCAACCTGTAATCTGCTAAACACTGTGATTAAATAATTATGCTTAAGGTTATAACTGATTCTGATTGTACAGTTTAACACTGAGCATTAGAATTGACAAATGCCATTCCCCACTGAGTAAGTAACTGAACCTAAGCCTGGGGGCTGAGAGCTGGAAAAGCACCCAATGGTTGTGGAGGGGAGGATATATCAAAAGGAATAGTATTCCATTAGCATCTGGGGAGGAAAAGGGGGAAAAGAGGAAGGGAGTCATGGAGGGCCCTAAAATACGTTTGTTTTACACAGGCTGTGCTGTTGTGCTTGTCAGGCATTTCCCTTAAGGTAAGGAAGCCTGGCATGAAGTGGTAAAAGGACTGTCATTTGATTGGCATAGCAAAGTTTAGGGCAATAAGCCATGCCTGTGGCATGTGGGCACCCCTTCCTAGAGA